CCTAGAATCTGTCGTGGGTCTTTCCCACTATCAATTCCTACGTTGGGGAGTGGCTCTGGACACACACACCTACTCTGCCCCCTATCCCACGGCATAGGGGATCCAGAGTTTAGGAGCAAGTTTGGTCTCCAGACGACCTGCCAATTCCTGCTAATCTTCCTCATAGGTCCTGCTGCCTATCTAGTCCACCCACTTTATTCTGTAAGGGGGATCATGAAACCAGTGGGGAGAAGCAAGAGAAGAAAGGAGGAACCATGAAAGAGGAGTAGGAGAGAGAAGAAAAAATCTGAATCAGAAAAACAGGGTCACCTTCCATCATTCAGGAGGGGTTCCTCTATGTTAGTCAATTCATCTGCCATTGCAGTGGGTGTGCTCAAAACATATTTGCCAGGGTGTCCTGGATTGCTTGTAAAGATGCTAATTGGTTGTATTCAATGATCTCAGTTATTCTTTAGCCAACAAGATTTCTTTTGCATTGTAACCACCGACAAAAAACACATAACCAGCCGTTCACATTAGCAGGTATTTTTATTAAAAATAAGGCAATTGTTAAAATAAACTTGTTCTACACATTCAGTGAGGTCCGCTAATTGGTGCCAGATACAGACTGTTGATATATCTATGACTGCCACCCCGCTGCTGTTTCACATGCAGTCCAATGAAAATTTGACTTAATGCCAGTAATAATTCTATACCGGCTTAAGGTATTTCCAGAGTAGGTAGTGGGCGTCCATCTGGTGTGCGGTAGAGAAAGAAGTGTTAAAATCTAAGTTTAGTTAAAATGTTTTTTTAAAAATTAGCACAAGGGATGGTACATACATTCAATAGAAAGTGTCCCTTGTTTGCTGGCTGGTCACTTTTTTGAAATCTGAAGTCTTCTGCCAAATCCACCCCCCACCATACCCATACAGCCATAATCTTCTGGTGCTGCAGTGTTGACTATGCCAGCCCCTTTTGGTGCTCTATAAATGGAGGACAGGTAGGTTCATACTCACTTCTCCATTGGTAGCTAACTCAGATTGCCACCATGCTGAAGATCTACAGAGATGAAGACCATTCAATGGGGTTGATTTACTAAAGAAAAATAGACTGTACTTTTCAAAGTGCAGATGCACTCTGCAAGAGCAGTTGCTCCAGAGCTTAGTAAATAAGAAGACACTCTGCTGACTTCCATCCAATCATGTGCAAGCGAAAATGCTTTTTTTTTTTTAATTTTCCTTGCACGTGATTGGGTATTCTTTGCAAATTAAAGCTTTACCTCATTTACTAAGATCTGGAGCAACTGCACTTGCAGAGTGCAAATGCACTTTGCAAAGTGCACAGTCTATTTGCCTTTAATAAATCAACCCCTATTACCCAAAACTGCTCGTTGGAGCTTACAAAGGGTTGAGATAGGGTTATCAATACATGGGCAAAGTACAAGTTTGCTTTAGAGCAGGGTCTCCAAACTTTCAAAACAAAGGGCCAGTATACTGTCCTTCAGACTGTAGGGGGGCCGGACTGAGGGAGTAGAAATTATCCTGATGTAAGTGGGAGTAAACAATGCCCTTTAGTTTGGGTCAGTGGTAGGAATACTGCCCCATTGTTGGTGTCATTAGGAGGAATTTTTTCCCTTCATTGGTGTCATTGGGAGGACATGTGCCCAATTGTTGGTGTAAGTTGGAAGAATTGTGCCCCATTGCTGGTGTAATTGGGAGGAATTGTGCCTCTTTGTTGGTGTCATTGGCAGGAACTGTGCCCCATTGTTGGTGTAAGTGGGAGGAATTATGCCCTATCATTGGTGTCATTGGGAGGAACTGTGCCCCATCACTGGTGGCAGTGGAAGGACATATGTCCAATTGCTGGTGTCAATAGGAGGACAGATGCCCAATTGTTAGTGTAGGTAGATGGAATAGTGTCCTGAGGGCCAGATAAAAACAAGCAAAGGACCACAGTTTGCAGACCACTGCTTTAGAACAATTTTGTTGCTGGGAATTTTTTTTTCCTAGAAAAAAAAAGTGTTCATTTTCACCCCTCTGTCGGGAAGTGACTCGGACTGTCACTATGCTGAAGATCTATAGCAGCTTCTGAAGACCATATAGCATCTGAACGGTCCCCCACTGTAAGCTGTAGTTTTCCTTGCTGGCTGCTACATCACTACTCCTGTAGCAATATAGGTATCAGCAGAAGGAACCAAAACACATGGTGGGGACATGAGCAACCATTGCTCTTGCAAGTGTCAAATGTGAACATTCTGTCAGAGGTTTTAACCTTTCAGAAAAGTGACAATCCAGGCCAGTGGAGAGAAGTATGAAAAGTCTTCTTTTGCAGGGACGCTTTTGTAGGAAACTTTTCCAAGCAACGGAGTTCTCCAAACTCAACTTGACATTTTTAATTGATAATATTTAAAGCAAACCTGTGATCAACTCATACCTACTAAGTAATCGTAGACCCAAAAAGCAGATACTATATGCCTCGCACAGGTCCACTGTACTGGGAGCCCGAAAACCAAAGATGTTCTATCAGCAAAGCTCAACATTCCCTTTACACTTCCCTGCCTCAAACTACTGGCCATGGCTATCATGGTCACCCTACCTAACCAACAGTGAGGTGTGGATAGCAGAAGAGGGCAGGCTTGAGCTCAGCATGAATCTTCCTGCATGTCATAGTAAGAAAATTCCATGGTACGCAAATTCTGCTTCACATGACTTAAATTGGGAATTGAGCGTGCAACGGTTGTGTATTCTGGGTACAGAGGCCAAATAATTCTCCAGTTACACTGACTACAAGATTTATCTGATATCAACTTCCCAGTGCAGAGCCATAGTATTAGGTCATGTGGCCCTATGATATATGTTGGACGGGGGTATGTATGTCCCTATGATATATGGTGGATGGATTTATATATGGCCCTAGAATATATGGTGGATGGGTGCATGTATGGCCCTAAGATATATGGTGGACGGGTACATGTATGGCCCTATGACATACGGTAGACAGGTGCATGTATGGCCCTAGGATATATGGTGGACGTGTGCATGCATGGTCCTAGGATATATGGTGGACGTGTGCATGCATGGTCCTAGGATATATGGTGGACGGGTGCATGTATGACCCTAGGATATATGGTGGACGGGTGCATGTAAGACCCTAGGATATAAGGTGGACGGGTGCATGTAAGACCCTAGGATATAAGGTGCACGGGTGTATGTATGACCCTAGGATATAAGGTGGACGGGTGCATGTATGACCCTAGGATATAAGGTGGACGGGTGCATGTATGATCCTAGGATACATTGTGGACAGGTGTATGTATGGCTCTATGATATATGATGGATGGATGCAAGTATAGCCCTAGGATATATGGTGGACGGGTGCATGTATGACCCTAGGATATATGGTGGACGGGTGCATGTATGACCCTAGGATATATGGTGGGACGGGTGCATGTAAGACCCTAGGATATAAGGTGGACGGGTGCATGTAAGACCCTAGGATATAAAGTGAACGGGTGCATGTATGATCCTAGGATACATTGTGGACAGGTGTATGTATGGCTCTATGATATGTGGTGGATGGATGCATGTATAGCCCTAGGATATATGGTGGATAGGTGTGTGTATGGCTCTATTTTTTTTTATAGGCCAGCTAATATTAGTTTGCACTGACAAGGGGCAGGATTGCTTTCTAATTACTGATAGATTTTAGCTGGTGTCCTGGCTTTCCATGCCGTTTTTCACCTACCTTTCTTCATGTGTTCAATACTTTTTTCCTGTATTATTCCATTTTATTACACATAACTTAATTTAAAAAAAATATTTATTTTGGTTTCTTTGTATGTATGGGTTGCATGAGAAAAATGGTGGCATGTTCAATACTTATTTTACATGCTGTATATGGTAGACAGGTGCATGTATGGCCCTATGATATATGGTGGGCAGGTGTATGTATGGCTTTTTGACATATGATGGATCAACACATGAAAACTGCAAATTATGACCTCTTTTGAAGATGCTAGTTTTCTGGCTGTGGTGCTGACCCATTTGCTTTTTTGAGTCTTGGACTGAATACAAGTATGCAGATAAGTATGCCGGTTTTCTTTTTTTTTTTTTATATCCCTGAGCTTCATACTTGTTCTACAGACTCAAAGTACTGAATGGTTCAAGCCTAGAAGCAATAAACTAGCAATTTTGGTAATGACAACCCCCATGTATCTCTTCTGGGTTTACTTTCAAGTGGATCTAAGTTTTGACCTTTAGGCCCCGTTCAATGGCACTAGCGGTGCAGACTGAAGAACTTTGGGGACACAAGTTAAGGACGTATTTGATTGCCCACAAAGCCTTAGGATGGACAAGGAGCAACTTTCCCATCTGGACAAGCAAGGTGCAGAATCTGCTCTGGAAGAAGCAATGGAAAGTGCTTAACATTCACAGTATAAGGCACATCACGGTATTTACAGCCTAAAGAGCATGTTCATAATTCATACTCATAAGCCCCATATAAAGGACGGAGCAGCACCTCATTTAATAAAGCTTGTCGTAAAAACAGTAAATGGAGTATGAAAGAGTAAGGAGTGACTAAAAACTAGGCCAGGAGGAATATGAAAACTGTAGATCTCATTATGAAAATATAAAAGCTGAGAACCATTTTTTATGCCCACAGCAGCCAATCTAACCTGCACTAGATTAATAGCAGAGGCCTGGTATAAGAAGCAGCAATGATTAATGAATGGTTAAGCAATGATATAGTGCAATATAATGCAGATAAAAGTGAAAAAAGACTGCTAACTATGTGACTTGACCCTTTCCTGACTGGTCTACACTCGGAAGAGGTTATATAATGATCATGATGAATGAACATAAATCGTCTTTTTCCACATTCATTTTTTCACTTCTAAGTCCCAGCACCTGGAGAATACCAATCACAGGTCACCAACCAAACGGGAAAGTAGGAAGTCTCTAATGAAGGGTGCTACATTTTGAGGTCAGGACAATGCTCTTGGTTTGGACATGAAGGGCTCCTCATAACTTCAGCTGCTTCTCCACCATTTCTCTCAGTTTGAACTTTTGGATCTGAACAGAACAAAGAACAGTATAAGGTTGACATGAGTACCCAACCAACACATACACCGCATATCAATTTACGATGTCGCCTCCAAGTAAAGTCAGCACATCCGTCCCAAAATTACCTTTCCAGAAATTGTGAGAGGGTACTCATTCACGAAGACTATGTAACGAGGGATCTTAAAATGAGAAATCTGTTGGAAAAGAGAGAGTTGGAAAATGAGATCAGGGAAGTAAACCTTAAAGCAGTAATCCAGTCATTTTTCAAAAATAACTTGCCTGAACTGTTCAAAAATGAAAAAAAGCAGCTATTCTTTTTTTTTCTCGTCTCCCCCCTTTGACCTCAATATTCGCCTGCATTGTCTACCACTTATTTAATCTGCAGTTCTGTCCAACTTCTATGTCTTGCGTATTGCGAATTTCTGTGAATTCCTAAATGAAGAATTTTTTAAAAAGGCAGCTATTCGCTTTAGAAAACACCTTGGGGTTGATTTACTAAAGGCAAATAGGCTGTGAACTTGGCAGTACACGGCAAGTACACTGAAAGTGCAGTTGCTCTTGATCTGAGGAGGACATGCAGGAAAATAAAACAAAAAAACAAAAACATGATTTTTTTGTTACTTACCATGAAATCCCTTTCTCTGAGTTCATTGACAGACACAGCCTCTTCTTCTTTATCCATTGTTAACAGGGTTTTATAGCCCCACCTATAGGAGTAGTACTCTAGGTAGGAAAAAACTCGGTACCTTCTATGGGCAGTCCTCTCTAGGCATAAAACCCCCAAACCCCCTCTCTGCTATAGGTCTCCAGTCAGTCACAAGCAGTGTCAAAGGAGAAAAAGCCATAGAGGGGAGGGTGCTGTGTCCGTCAATAAACTCAGGGAAAGGGATTTTATGGTGAGTAGCATCTCGTTTTCTTTTACGTTCGTTGATGGACACAGCCTCTTCCTCTTTATCCATTACCAAACAGGGATGTCCCCAAGAAGTGCCACAATGACGGGTGGGCAAACCAACTAATGGAGAAAAAAAAAAACCCCAGGCAATCTGCCAACACTCCAAACCATTCCAAGGGGGTGTCTGAGTGGTCTGCAAAACTTTGCGCCACAACTAGCATTGAACATGCAACACATCAATCTGACAGAACTTAGTAAATGCGCACACAGCAACCAGATCATTGCTTGCAACCTTAATTAGGCGCCTTATGCTTGAACGCCCCTGAGGCACTAACTGCCCTGGAGAAGAGGGCTGTACCAAAGAAGGGAGATTCCTGTCCCTAAATGGCATATGGCTGCACAATCGTTTGTTGAATCTAACAGGAAACAATGGCAGAAGAGGCCGCAAGGCCTTTTATCTGACTGTCCGTGAGCACCAGGAGAGAATCTGAACTTCCGAAAAAAAGCCAGGTATATGCAGAGCACATCCAAGGAGTGCACAGCCACCTCCTTAGGAAGTGATGGCCAATGTCATATAGAAGGAAGAACAAATGTTCTCAGTCAAGTGAAAATCCAAAACCATCTTTGGAAGGGAAAGGCAAAAAGCATCACCCTGTCCCTGTGGAAAACCAGATAAGGCGGCAAACAAGATAAGGCCGCCAACTCCTCCAACCGCTGAGCGAAGTAAGTGAGGAGTAAGGCACCTTACGTCAAAAGAATAGGAAAGGGAATATCCTGAATGCTCCCAAAGGAGGCATCTGACGAGCCGACAACACCACATTCAAATCCCACTGTGACAGGGAAAGCGCACAGGGGACACCATATGACAAACCCCCTAAGGGAAGGTGCATAGCTAAAGGACACTGAAGGAAAAAAACCAGAGCAGAGCAGAGAGCCATGACCCTTGACTCACATCCGCTCCACTGATAAAGAGCAAGGATGGAACCCCAAGGCTGCGCACTAAACAACATAAGCTCTCGAGGTGCGATGATAAATCTGTTCAGAGGTAGACTCACGAGTCATTAGCATAGATGGAACACAAAGTCAGACAATCCGCCAGTTCCTTCAGAACCTGGTTTGCAATAGCCATGCTGTCAAAGCCAGCAAAGAAAAGTAGGGGGGGACACAGTCCCCCGAGGTATAAGGTCCTCCCCTTAGGCAGCCGTAAGGGAGCATCTTCCAGCACCGCACCACAGGTGGCTAGGCCAGTCTGGAGCCACCGGGAGGACCGGGATCCATCAGTCTCTATCCAGCGGAATAGACAAAGAATCATTCGGAAGGACAGAAGTTGTAGATGATATTGTACTCATCCCCCAGCATCACTAACCCATTCACTGCGTTCGCCAGAGGATCCAATGATCTTGCCACGAACCTTGGAAGCAAGCCGGGACACTAGAACATCCACAGCCTGAGTCCCCCAGTGAAGGCAGAGATGAGAGAACAGCTCCGGGTGAAGGGACCACTCGCCCTGATCCAGTATCTGACAGACGAGAAAATTTGCTTGTTAGTTTCGACCCACGAAACATGTACATGTACAGAGGATAGAGCCAGAAAGAACCTTTCTGCCCATCTCAGGGCGTGAGATGCCTCCAGCACTGCTCCTGCACATCTTGAGCCCCCTAATGAGTGACATATGCCACTGCAGCGGTGTTGCCCGACCAGATCCCGATTGGTAGACCTGTAGGCGATAAGTCCCATGGGTAAGGAACAACCTGATCACCCAAAATTCCAGGACATTGATGGGGTAGTCGAGCCTCCTCCAGAGTCCAATGACCCTGAGCCAAGTCCTATCCCAAGACTCCTCCCTAGCCCGACAGGCTGGCATCCGCCATGACCACAGTCCATTAAAGGGGAAGGAAGGACATTCCGTTCCATAGAGCCGGAGACTGCAGTCACCAGAGAAGAAAAGCCCTCGTTGACCACCCCAAGTGAATGTGAAACTCTTAGGGAGTGGAGACCCTTTGCATTTGGACAGGATTGCCTACAACAGTGTACTCACATGGAACCGGATATCTGGAACCGCACAAAAATAGACACCAGTAGGCCCTTGTCCAGCCAGCGAAAATGCAAGGTGGGAAGCTTGAGATTCAAAAAGCTGCCAGACTGGTACCAGAGGTCCTGTAGTTCGTTCGCCAGGTGAAACACCATGGAGCAGCAGCCCCAGACACTCCAAGCACTTGAATGGAGCGACACAGACTTCCAGAGGGTGGGGATGCATGGTGATCTCCCCACTGTCCAACAAGGGCATGCAGGTCTCCACCCACACAAGCAAAACGTACAGGTAGCCAAGCCCCTGTTGTTGCTGAAGACACTAGGCAGAATGACTGGAGACCTATAGCAAAGAGGGGGTTTTATGTCCAGAGAGGACTTCCCATAGGAGGTGCCGAGTTTTTTTTCTACCAAGTGTACTACTCCTGTAGGTGTGTCTATAAAACCCTGTTTGGTAATGGATAAAGAACTAGAGGCTGTGTCCGTCAATGAAAGTAAGAGAAACAGCATTTTTGCTTGCACATGATTGGATGAAAAGAAACCAGCAAAGCTTCGACTCATTTCAGATCTTCCCCTCGGATATAAAGCAACTGCGCTTACAGTGCACAGTATATTTACCTTTAGTAAATCAACCCCCCCCCCCCCCCCCCCGTCTCTAGTGCAAATCACAGATCTGCCATTAGCTGTCTTTGAAGCTAAGCTGAATGATGGCCACCACCACTCACCCTAGTGAGCCTAGGCTGTCACAGACAACCTCTTGGGGGGGGGGGGGGAGGCATCACCACGTCGCCCTGGGTTTACTGTACAACACTGCACTGACTTCATATTATGGCTCCAATCTCTACAGTATTGAAGAAGGCCCACAGCTGGCATTGGAAGAGAACCCCTGGCTTTTCTACCACGTAAATATTCAGGTGTGAAGGATGAAAGAACCACATGCCTATGAATGGTTCAGTAAAAATTAATTAAAGTGGTTTTAAAGGCTGAAGGTTTTTATACCTTCATGCATTCTATGCATGAAGGTAAAAAACCTTCATTATGCAGCTACCCTGCAGCGCCACCAAAAACTTACCTGAGCCCGATCTCTTTCCAGCAATATACACGAAGACAGCGGCTCTCCCTCCTCATTGGTTCACACACAGCAGCAGGAGCCATTGGCTGTGAATCACAGCCAGTGAGGAGGGAGCAGGAGGCAGGGTTGAACCATGCTCTTATGGACACACAGAGCAGTGGCTCGGGAGCAAGTATGCATGAGTACCCCCAGAGCAAGCTGCTTGCTATGGGGGTGCTTGGTGAGGGAAGGGACCAGAAGCACCAGTGGGGGACCCCAGAAGAATAGGATCGGGGCTGCTCTGTGCAAACAAATAACACAGAGTAGATAAGTATGATGTGTTAGTTATTTTTTTTTTAGATTGCCTTTACAATCACTTTAATCTTGATAAAAACACTTGCTTTTTATCAAGTTTAATTAACTTTTACTGGATCATTTAAGAAAAATAATAACTTTTTATCAAAATTAATACATTTTTAGTTGATCATGTATAAGCTTGTGCTGCTGTCATTCTTCACATTTTTATTGGATCATCTTGGGGCCCATAGGGCTGCTCTATTTATTAGAGAGCTACCTCTCCAGACTAGTAACTGCACCAGCTCACACTTATTTTTGAGTCCAACACTCCTTCAACACCTATGGAAACATTGTAGAGGCTTCCTGGGTCAAGTGTGTGACTTTTCCACCTATGCCTTACTTAATACCCATTCCCAAGGCCTAAAGTGAGCCACTGCTTTGTACTAGGCAATGGAAATGGTTTGCTTCAGCCACCATAGGATCACTGTACTTTCCTACCCTGTTCTCCACTGCTGCCAGAGGCCCTGGGAGAACCTTAGTACTTGTGAGTATGGGGCATATGCTAGAGTGTGCTGCAAGGGTCTCAATCTGCTCAATGGCAGCTGCCTGTAAAGTTCTGGTGTTATGTCATCCTGGACAGTCAAGAGGCAGTGCAGCTGTTCATGGTAGCCAATCAGCTTCTAACTTCAGTTGGTTCAGTGAAGCTTTGACCATAAAATATGGAAGCTGATTGGTTTCTATGCAGAGTTGCTTCAGACATGGAGCATTCTTCCTTCCAATGACCAATATGGGCGATCTTGGTGGTCTCCCAGATTCCAGTGTTATAATCCACTGATGGAAGGTGCGCCAAGGGCCTCAATCTCCTCAGTGGCAGCTGCCTGCATAGTTCTGCTGTTATATCATCCTAGACAGTCAAGAGGCACAAGACTAAGAGCATTTCAAAGATGGAGCATTCTTCCTTCCAATTGGCACTGATGATGTTCCATTTTTCTTCTCCTACTGACCAACACAATTTTTTTTGCACCTATCCAGTGGAGTCGCTATGGGGGTGTGAGTGGTGCGGACCGCACCCAGGTGACACCCACCGGAAGGGTGACACTAGAGGCGGACTTGGACTTACCATTTGGTGACAGTGAGGGGAGCGAAGCAGGAGGTGGCAGCCTCCAATCCCGGAAGCAGCTCACTTATGGTGGCAGAGCGGGTTGGAGTCCCAGGCTATCATGACTCACTACATAGCTAGTGATAGATGGTGAAGGTGAGAGTCCATAATATTAGGTGGCAAGACTAGACACCAACTCCTTCACCATGGCTGTGATCAGGAACCCCGCTGATATACTTATAAAATCACAGTATACATTTTTTTTATTGAGAGGGGGGTTCTCCTAGTGTAATATGAGGGGATAGGGGAGCCTCTCACTCTCAATCCTCTCTCTCCCCAGCCCCCCCCCCCCTCACCCCGCCCCCTATGTTTCTCTCACCTCCCTCTCTTTCTCTCACCTCCCTCTCTTTCTCTCACCCCCCTCTCTCTCTCTCTCTCACTCCCTCTCTCTCACCCACCCTCTCTCTCTCACCACCCCCCCTCTCCATCTTGCACACAGGCCCACTGCTTTTATAAAACACCTTTGGTTATGTCCAAACGATGGCTGCTATGCACTGTGGCAGGCTAACAGGGAGGAGGGTTGTTGATGGGAGCACTGTGGCAGGCTAGTGGGGGGAGGGGGTACCGTGTTTTACTGTACCAGGTGACACCAACCCTAGTGACTACTGCACCTACCACTTGATGCTGAGTAATTTTTTCCTTCTATTAACCAGTGACATAAGGGCATTATTTTTCTCCCACTGACCACCGATGCTGGATAACATTTCTTCTTCCACTGACCAGATGCTGGAGCTTTCCTTCCACTGACAACCAACACTGGATTTTTTTTTCCTCATTGACCACCAAATAACAAATGTTTGAAGACCCCACAAGGACTGTGACATCAGAGCTCTGGTGCACCCCCTGCATCCCCCAAAGAAACATGCTGTGCCTTTCTGATCAATAAAGAGGTAAGCAGTGGGGGAAAGTAGAGTTTCAGTTTGAAAACTGGAGGCAGCTGGAGGCTGTTATTTCTATATTAGGCACCCTAGGCAAGTGCTGACTGGCTATATACCACCAAGAGCCTTTTTAAGTGCAATAGTCATCACGCTTGGCAATAGATATGGCAATTATTTGCTATTAGGGGGTCAAATTTAAAAAAAATGCCCCAAAAACTTTAGGCACCACTTTTTTTGGACTGGCTTACACCTCAATTACCTTACCTTTCCCTTGCAGTATTCCTTGATCTCCTCTGCCGTACATTCCTGGTCGTTATGGGTTCGGATACAAGCACAGATCTCCTCCCCCATCCGTGCATCTTTAACTCCAACGATCTGCAACAACACGGTGCAATTTGGTCTGTAACAGGCGACATGGACAACTATTGTTCAATTGTACAGTGTTGGCTCCTCCCAGTTACCTGGGCTTCCATGACTTTGGGGTGCGTGTGCAGGAACTGTTCGATTTCAGCTGGGTATACGTTTTCACCTCCTCGGATGATCATGTCGTTACAGCGCCCAACGATTCGACAGTATCCATATTCGTCCATGGTGGCTATGTCTCTGGAAGATGGCGGCAAAAGAAGAACATTAATTCATTAGCAAACCAAAGTCTTTAGAAGCATACTTAGTCTGAGACAATGACTCAGAATTGAAGCAAGAGAGTCAGTGTGACAACCAGGTAACTATCATTTTCAGAAGGTGACAACATTAGTTCTATTTGATTGCTCAAGAGTTCCAAGATTATGAGTGTGGGTATAACCAAGATGTCAGTTCATAGCCCTAAAGCACGTGTCAAACACAAGGCCCGCAGGCCGAATTCGGCCCACCAGGCCATTTTTATGTGGCCCTCACACCTGACCTGCAGCTGTGGCACCCCCCTCGTCTCCGCACCCACCATGTCTCAGCTGTCAGCAGCAGAGAGGAGGACAGGACTCCTCTGACAGATCCTTGGCTTCTCTGAGCAGCCATGGAGAGGCTCATCTCTGGCCCCACCTTGTCTCAGCAGTCTGCAGCAGAAAGGAGGACAGAGCTCCTCCTACAGATCACCTCTCTGTGCAGCAGCAGCACCCCTCATCTCCTCCTCCCCTAGTCTCATAATTCAACAGACTCCAGAAACTAACTCCAGCTCTAATCTGGTCCTCCTCCAGACCCTGCACTTTCTACTTTTCAGATCTGCCCCCAGCTACTTCCAGGCAGCAGCACAAGATAAGGGGGGGGTGGACTGTGATGCAAGGGAGGGTGGGGGACTCTTGACTTCTGATGTAAGGGGGAAGAGGTGCTCTGGATATGTAGTCTTACAGATACAACTGGCCCTTTGAGGGCAACCATAATGCTGATGCAGCCCGTGATAAAACTGAGTTGGACACCCCCGCCTTAAAGCATTATTACCAGAATCCCTCCCATTATCACATTCAAATTACTGCTAATCAGGACCAAGCAAACATCTTTTTTTTATGTGCATTGCTTTACTCTTTTCTCTGTACTTATTGGTTGCTGTAGGTTGGATCTCCATTTATCAAAAATTTTAAAGTTTAAATAATTTGCTTAATATCCTGGGTACTAATTGTATGTTTTTTATTGTCCCAATAAAAATGCTCTGCCATTCACTTTAAATAAGGATACCCCATTGAAATCTACGTATGAGTCTAAGAATCAAAGCGTCACTCTGAGATGATCAAGTCTAGAAAATAGAATTTCATCCAAACATAAATAGAGTGCAAAAGACAATTTGTTACGGGGGTCACACAACTCCCCCTTCATCAGGACTACATTGTAATACAATTAATAAAAAATTTAAATTGGATTTGGTTAAAAAAATTCAAAACAATCCCAGTCATATATGGTTTCCAAGGAAAGCAAAATACACATAGAATAAACTTCATCTTTAAGCTTTGAAATATCATGTCCATTAGAAAATGACAGGTCCACTTTATCGCTGTCAGAACATGGTAAGTCAATAATAGCAGCGCACCAATGGACTAGCATTGGTCACTCACCCGGTCTTGTACCACCTTTCAGGGGTGATGGTCTCCATGGTCTTCTCTTCATCGGCCCAGTAGCCCAGCATGACACCGAAGCCTCGAATCCATAGTTCACCTGAAGCATCCAGTGGAAGTATATGGCCTGTATTGGTGTCTACTACCTTTGCCTGAGCAGAAATAGAGAAGTCAGTGCTGGAAATAAGTAAAAGGATTATACAAACAACAAGGAAAATAAAGAAAAAAGTAGCCACGGTGGCGCCTCACCTCTGTATGGGACATGACATAACCTACACTGTCTGTTTTCCGGAAAATGTCATCAAAGATGAACCCCATGAATGTGACCGGGCTGTTTTCTGTTGTGCCGTAACCAACCTGTAAAAATAAAACAGCAGCAACATTTTTTGTGAGCTATTTTTTACAGTTCTATGTAAATGTCATCAACTTAAATGGGGACTAGAAATATGTCTTGGCTTCTGAACCCCGTACCGACCGCGTAACGTACATACAGTATGCAGCGGCAGGGAAGGTGGGCTTTAGTACCCAGCCGCTGCATATATGCGTCTCTACAGCTGAGTGACATTTGTATACTGGGAGATCCCAGTACACTGAGCGCGCAGTTACCAATAGATCTCAGCCAAGGCTCCTGATCAGGAACCAGCAGGACGGGCTCCCAATTATGTGACCACCAGAAGCAATGCTGCCTTCTAGGCTTTATAGCCCATTTAACAAGCGCCGGAAGGCAGAGTTAGGGGTTAAAGTCTTAAAACTTTAAAAGTGCTGCAAGTCCAAAAAAAACACCAGATCATTTGTCAGAAAACTAGTAAGCGCCTACTTTTTTTTTTCTTTCAGCTGACAACACAGTGTCTTTGCTGTGCCAAAGTCCCAACCAGTGTTGTCAGCCATACCAGCCTGCTTGGCTACAAAGCCCTGTCAACCACCAGCCTCTCTCCATCCCTACCTGCATGCAACTATTAAGGGACAGAGAGGATCAAAATGTACTGCTTCCTTGACTCCTAAGAGAATGCCTACACAATGTGCATAAAAGAAGGACTCTTGGAAGATGTAGTTCTGGGGGCATGCCTACAGCAACAAGACTTGATCCATCTCCAGCTGCCCCTACTTGAGTTTTACAAGGCTAGTGATGATGTCACAGGGAGTAATAAAAGCTCTTTCTCGCTAAAGTAAAAAGGTAAAATTAAATCCTGGAACATGCTCTAGGTTGGACGGGGATAAGGAAGGGGGATTTGGGTAATGTCTAGACATACCATTTAAAGCAAATGTTTCCATTTACAGATTTAACAAAGGACTTGACCCCCAAAAGAGGAGCTGAAGATATCGTTACTTGATGATGAAATGCGTTGGAGGGATGTCTGGTTGACGTCATATCCAGTTACTTGAAGCGCACGGCAGTCATACTGGAAGCTGAGCTTCCTGGTTAGTTTAAGAGGCTATTGACATTTTTTTTGCTTGTAAGATGAGCCAAGTGCCAGCTTAGCATAAAGAAGGGATGAATGGGCTGGAATGGTTCTCAAAATAGTTTATTTTCCAAATTCTTTAACCTTTTTGCTGCCACCACATGTCATACATCACTGCAGCGGGGGGGTTACAGCAGACGGGAGCAAGTGTACACTCCATAAGCCAACTGTTGGCTTCCTGTGATCTCCAGAACTGGGGTCTGGGGAGACCCCTGATGTCTCATTAACCCCTGGCGGTATTCCTGAGTGTAGCTCGGGGTAAAGTTTCAGCACCACAAGCGGTAACCCCGAGCTACACTCGGGAATACACTGCAGCGTTGCTCCAGGATCCCTTCTGCACTTACCTTGTCCTGCGCTCCCGCGATGTCCCTCCTGCAGTGTCCCTGGCCATCTCCTCTGTCTGATGCCGGCATCCGTCTTCCAGGTTCCGTTCCCTGCGAGCGTCGGGACGTACAGGGGACGGAACTGGCGGGAAATTTAAAAATGTCAAAAAGTGACCTTCACTAAATTCACTAAAATCACATAGTATAACATTCCTGTATCAAACCATTTCACATACATTTTGTCCCGAGTGCTTTGTCCGGCGCCCTGCCTGCATTTTTACTGTTCTTTCTGCCTGGAAACTGAGAAATGTCCATGGCGTCCAAAAAGCGTCCCTTTAGGTCAAAATCGGTTTTAGACCGGCTAGAGAACAGCGATAGTAAATCAGAACCACTTGCAGAATTGAGTGATAATGATTCGTGGGGGAAATTTATCATCAGACACTGAAAACGATTTTACGACTTTGCTCAGCGATGTGCGAACTTGGCGCTATATTTCAAATTTCAGTGGTTTTGGTAATATATAATATTGAATTACATTTATTATTCTATTATTATTTTTTATGATTATTTATTATATTATAATTTATGATTTCGTGTTTAAAATTTTAACATACCCGGGATGTTTACTAGACTCTTGTTTGGACAGATTTCAGTAAGTTATTCCTAAAAATTACAGGCCTACAATAAAAAAATGACACATTTCCATGCAAAAAAATGTACCGCTTTAGAGCACAGAAATACTTACATAATCAGACCGCTAGGGAGGCTACAGAGAACCTGTCACAAAGGGTTTATATCACATAGGGGACTTTGATAAAGTTTTAGTGAAAAATAAAATATCAAAAAATAAGTTACATCCCAGTATGTAGCACCAAATGCCCCCCCGCAAAAAATTTGGAGCATGTTTCTTGGCAGATCAGGAACACTGCAAGACTCTAACATGCGGACTTCTGCAGCTCCTGCTCCTCAAGGCGCCATGTTCAGGCCCCTCCCCCTCTTCACAAGTGAAGACTGGTTTTTTGTGACTCAGCTGCAGATTGTACTGTTCACGGGTTCAAGGCCCGCCATTATTAGTATAAAAAAAAAATCCCAGTATATATATCACCATTTGTAGATGCTATAACTATCACGTAAACTAATTAATTTACATGTATTTGGATTTTTTTTTAGCAAATTCATTTTGGCCTAAATATATGACAAAATTAGATTTTTTACTAGATACGTTTTATAGCAAAAAGTCAAAAACATTGTTTTTGTTTTCACAATTTTTCGGTCTTTTTTTGTTTATAGCACAAAAAATTAAAAACGCAGAGGTAATCGATTACCACCAAAATAAAGTTCTATTTGTGGGGGGAAAAAAAAAAGGACATAAATTTCAATTATGTACAGTGTTGCATGACCGCGCAATTGTCAGTTAATGTAACGCAGTGCTGTATGGCAAAAAATGGCCTGGTCAGGAAGGGGGGTAAATCCTCTGGAGGGTAAGTGGTTAACATGAAATGACAACTCAAACAAGATGCACAATTGCAGTGTGTTTCTGAAACGCATGACAAAGCGCACATTTTCTGTGAAGTTTGCCATGCGTTTAGAAACATACCGATGTGAATGGAGCCTCATTGTTCTGGTTTGTGTGAACAAACTAATTTCACTTCCAGGCCCCATTCACACCCAGCGTAGTCAGAGCACATTTTTTATCTCGTTTTTCCAGTGACACACATAGGACAGCCTGTTGATTTCAAAGGGCTGCACTACACGTGGCAAAGTAGCATATGGGATATTTTCGCATGGTGCGAGTTGCATTTTTTTTTTTTACTGCGCATTTTGCTGCATTTGTCACCCACTTTTTTATGAGGTAAAATGTGTGTTTGCTTGTGTTTGGTGTGTCTTTAACAATTAATGACACTGAAAGCGCAACTTTAGGTATATAAATGTGGCCATACATTATACAAGCTGATTGTACAATCTCTGACCAATCTCTTCTAGATTTACCAAAACTATATAATAATTAATAATACACCATCTATCCAATCACTCTGTATCCAATCAGGCAGGTCCTTGCCAGGGGCGGACTGACCATTTGGAAACTCGGGCTCTGCCCGAGGCCCAGGGTCAGTAGGGGGCCCCATGAGATGCCCCTGGTACCTTTTTCATAGGCTTTTTTGAGTTTGGGCAAGGACACAGGGCCCCATGATCCCCTATTGCCCGGGGGCCCCATTAGTTGTCAGTCCGCCCCTGGTCCTTGCGCTACATCAGGAGTGTCCTGTGGGCTGCAAGCTGCCCTAGGGAGTTTAGCTGGAGCCCGACCGAAGGCACAAATGCACGTTTGGAGAGATGCTGTGAAAAAATAGTTGATGGGTGTGGGTTTTAATGAGGTCAGTGCAGGATGCGTGTGCTAATGAGATCAGCCGGTATACTCCTTCCTATGTCCTACTGGCTCCTCTGTCCTACATCTACATACCAGCAAGTGATGAAGCTTTCTAAGAAATCCAGCAAGCGCTAAGGTAAGGCCTTGTTCTCAAATCAAAGAAAGCTTTTATTTTTCTGCAACTAAGGTACATTAATGGTATATTGGTACATAGGGGAGCTGGATTTTAGAGCTTTTTTAGCTGAGAAATCATTTTGAAAAACACCCCCTGGCATTTCTGGCAGTGGCCATCTTGAGTAAAGGCAGGTGATTCATGTAGCATTTACTTACTGGAATCCATCTGCCCTTAACTCAGGCATTGGCTGAGCTGAGAACCCTCCCTCCCCTCCTGAAGACTGCTGGGATGTATGACATCATATGATATACTTTCCTATCCATTTACAGGGGATCTTGATACCTGATGTGAGAGGGGATGGGGTACTCTGAACATCTAGACTTGCAGATACAACCAGTCCTTTGAGGACAACTATAATGCCCATGTGGCCTGCTGTGAAATTGAGTTTGAAGGTGTCCAAACAAGTTTGACCAAATTGTGTATCTCTTTACAAGCATGGCAAACCGTGTGCTAACTAAACCCCTGCTTTTAAACGCATGTTGTTAGACAGGTTCATTTGGTTGTTGGCTAGCTGGCTGGCAAGTTGAACTGGGTGACATCTTTCCTTTTTTTGATATGCGATGCCCATCCGTGTTCCTTGCTGTAAAAGCCAGTTATAGACTGGGGCAGTGACCACCTTTTTGTATTGTTGCATTGTAGGTGAGTGGGTACACTGGACACCTTAGCTGCCATTGTGCCATATGCTGGGTGTCCAGTGCGCTCCCATGCCTTTAAGGAGGGGTGGGCTCCATCAAGTTCACCTGCCCTTGGTCTATCCATTAAATCAGGGGTGGGCAACTGTGGCCCTCCAGCTGTTGTAGAACTACAGGTCCCATGAGGCATTGCAAAACTGACAGTTACAAGCACGACTCCCAAAGGCAGAGGCATGATGGGACTTGTAGTTCACCAACAGCTGGAGGGCCACAGTTGCCCACCCCTGCATTAAATGCATGTGTCTCTACTATGAGGGCTCTCAAAATTTGTAGAGTTAGGACCACAGAATATTGGGGTGCCTCTGTGACTTACGTATGTGTTTGCAAATTTGTGCTGACTAAACCCCTGTTTTTAAACGCACATTGTTAGACTGGTTAATTTGCTTGTTGGCTAGCTGGCTGGCAAGTTGAACTGGGTATTTTCTTTCCTTTTTTTCACTATGTGAAAGCACCTACCATCATATTCCTCATTGTGGTCTCAGTGAGAAGTTTCTTCATGACCTCAGGTGGTACGATGGACCCAGCAATAATTCCTGCAGAAGAAGGCCTCATTTATAAACAGCTGAATTGGTTGCACATCTTATGTCAAGTTTTAGGATACTTAAATAAACAGCTAACAAAGTAACATGAAACCAAGAATCAATATTCTTAGTAAGATATTTTATTTAAAACTATCAGAATATGGTGGAGTACTTATGAGAGATCCGGAGTAGGATTGGAAGTAGGTTCTGGCAGATATTTGGTACACATTCCCCACACAAGCTGTACACTTCATATTCTGGCCCAGACTGGTATGCTTTGTAGTTTGTGGTGGGTGATCATCGAGCCAGGTAACAGAAATTAAGTTGGTGGTTCCCAGGTAATGTACATGGGGGTACATGGGGGTTTTGGTAGTTGGTCACTGTGTGTGGACAGGGGTGGCCTAAAAACACTCAGGAGTGTAAGACTACACTCAACCATACAATGTCTGACAGTTACTGAACCAACCTTTCTCAACAAGGAATCCATGGAGCTCCAGTGTTCCACCAGAGATTCCTAAGGGTTCATTGAGCAGTAGAGATATAGCAGATTGATCTCCTATCTTCACTGGCCACCAAGGAGCACTTACATCCAATGTAAGGGATCCCATCTATAATGACCATGTAATCAGGCCACCAAGATAAGGGGTGCCCTGCACTGACCACAACAGTGGGGATACACTACAAAGACCACCAATGTAAGGGGGCACTACACTGATCACCAACGTAAAGAGGCCCATTTTCCATTGACCACTAATATAGGGCAGCGCTTTTCCACTGACTACCAAGGTGAGGCATGCCCTACACTGATCACCGATGTAACTGGATTCTACACTGACCAGAAATGTAAGCAGGCACTATACTGACCACCAATGTAATTGGACACTATACTGACTACCAAGGTAAGGGGCACTACAGTAACCACACATGTAAAAGGGGAACTATATTGGCCACCAATGCAAGCGGGCACTACACTGATCACTAATGTAGGGGGCACTACACTGACCACAAATGTAAGGGGGCACTACAATGACCACCAATGCAATTGGACACTACAATGACCACCAATGTAATTGGAAATCACAACTGACCCAAATGTAAGGAATACTACACTAACTAAATGTAAAGAGGCAATATACTGACCACCAATGTAAGGAAGCTACACTGACCACCACCAATGTAAAAAGAAACTATATTAACCACCAGCGTGGGGGGATACTAACACTGACTATCAACCAAACTACACAAACCACGCATGTAAAGGGACTCTTTACTGACCACTAATGCAGGGGACACTACACTGATAATTTAAAAAGGGCAATACATCGACCACCAATGTAAGGAAGCACTACACTGACTACCAATGTGACTGGACACAACAATGACCCCCAATGTACACTCACTGGCCACTTTATTAGGTACATCTTGCTAGTACCGGGTTGGAACCCCCTTTTGCCTTCTAAAGTGCCTTAATTCTTCGTGGCATAGATTCAACAAGGTATTAAAAACATTCCTCAGAGAGTTTGGTCCATATTGACCTGATAGCATCACACAGTTGCTGCAGATTTGTTGGCTGCACATCCATGAACCAGTGATACAAGGCAGGATGGCTTTCATGCTGTTTATGCCAAATTCTGACCCTTCCATCTGAATGTTGCAGCAACCAGTTGCCCCCATTCTTCTCTGACCTCTGCCATCAACAAGGCATTTTAGTCCACACAACTGCCACTCACTGGATATTTTCTCTTTTTCGGACCATTCTCTGTAAACCCTAGAGATGGTTGTGCATGAAACTCCCAGTAGATTAACAGTTTTTGAAATACTCAGATCAGCCCGTCTGGCACCAACAACCATGCCACATTCCAAGTCACTAAAATCCCAATTCTGTGATTGGCTGCCATATGATTGGCTGATTAGCAATTTGTGTTACCAAATAATTGAACAGGTGTACCTAATAAAGTGTCCGGTGAGTGTAGGTGGACATTAAACTGACCACCAATGTGTAAGGGGACACACTACAATATTTCTGGCCATTATTGAAATCATTTAAATTATTAAAAATAATTTTGTTGTATAGCAAGGGAATATAAAATCAATTCTTGATATCAAATCATCTAGGTATGTTACATTTATTATTTTTTTTTTTAACTGATGTTTGTTAAAGAGAAATTATTTTTTTTAAAGTTACATGAAAACACACAGTCACATACCAGTTGTGAGAGTGGAGGAAAGAGATGCAAAGTCTGGTTCTGCCAACATATCAATATACATGGTTGGGGTGCCGTAAATACTTGAGCATCTGTGGGGTGTTAAAAGAACAGAAATGACTACTTAAAACATACCTCGCTGAAATGATACAATGGTTTAGTACCAACCAATCATACTGGAGTGCTTTTGTTTAACCTCCCTGGCGGTATTCCTGAGTGTAGCTCGGGGTAAAGTTTCAGTACCACAAGCGGTAACCCCGAGCTACACTTGGGCTTACCATGCGGCGCTGCTCCGGGATCCCTCCATCACTTACCTTGTCCTGCGCTCCCGCGATGTCCCTCCTGCAGTGTCCCCGGCAATGTCCTCCGGCCGATGCCGGCATCTGTCATCTGGGTTCCGTCCCCTGCAAGCGTCAGGACGTACGGGGGACAGAACAGCGGGAAATTTGAAAATGACAAAAAGTGACATTCACTAAAATCACTAAAATCACATAGTATAACATTCCTGTATCAAACCATTTCACATACATTTTGTCCCGAGTGCTTTGTACAGCGCCCTGCCTGCATTTTTACGGTTCTTTCTGCCTGGAAACTGAGAAACGTCCATGGCGTCCAAAAAGCGTCCCTTTAGGTCAAAAGCGGTTTTAGACCGGCTAGAGAACAGCGATAGTAAATTAGAACCACTTGCAGAATTGAGTGATAATGATTCGTGGGGGAAATTCCTCATCAGACACTGAAAACGATTTTGCGACTTTGCTCAGTGATGTGCGAACTTGGCGCTACATTTCAAATTTCAGTGTTTTTGGTTTGATTATATTGTTGAATTAAATTTAATATTATATTATTATTTTTTATGATTATTCATTAAATTATAATTTATGATTTCGTGTTTCAAGTTTTATCCTAGACTCTTGTTCGGACAGATTTCAGTGAGTTATTCCTAAAAATTACAGGCCTACAATAAAAAAAATACATATTTCCATGCAAAAAAATGTACCGCTTTGAGCACAGAAATATGGACATAATCAGACCGCTAGGGAGGTTAACCATGGTATTCTTTAAAAAGATACAGCTGGCTACACGGATGCTTCTCAATATAATTTCTTTATTGATTACAACTTCTTGGTACAGGACCTGACGCGTTTCGGCAAAAGCCTTCCTCAAAGCATGCAGTACATAAAGTAAAATGTAGTGTGTTTAATAATCCAAAATAAATATAATGGTATCACGATCCACTGATCAATATGCAAATTACATGTATAATCTGCAAAAAACCTTGCCAAAATCAATACAATATTCCAAGAATTAAGTGTTCATATTTCACCCGTGATTTCACATTCTTTACAGTGATGAAAACGACTTGTGTTTGGTTCACCTCTGCTGCATATTTATGACAACTATGTGCGCACCTTCACCAGTTGTGCTTTCACCTGGTAAATATGACCAAACCGTTAAGTGAGCTCAGAAATAGCTTGTGTCCCGTTTGTGGACTGTGGCTGGATGGGATTATTATCCTGCAGAGTTTGGGATCCCCACATCTTAAGAAACTTACTCCAATGGTCCATGTGCCATAAAGAATAATCAAAACAAAGTGCCTTATCCTCTTTTAAAACATTTATTTAACAAAAAGTATTGCACTCACATGTAAATGCTGAAAAAAATCGCTTTAAAATTCATCCACAATGCTTGCTAGCAATCCAATACAGTGATGAAGCCACGTGACCCGGTGAAGCAACGCGTAGGGGAGGGGCTTTGACGTCACGATGCTTAATGAGACAGGCAGTTACACAGCAAGTACACTGTATTGGATTGCTAGCAAGCATTGTGGATCAATTTTAAAGCGATTTTTTCAGCATTTCCATGTGAGTGCAATGCATTGTGTTAAATAAGTCTTTTAAAAAAAAAAGATAAGGCACTATGTTTTGATTAGTCTTTATGGCACATGGAGCACTGGAGGAAGATTAATTTGGTCTCTTTTTGGAACAAATGAAGAAAAGTGTTAGAGGCGGCGACATACGCCATATTCTGCTTGTGCATGAGGTGTGGTGGATACACAGTCTTAATACTAGGATCCCACATGGCTTGAATAATAGAATGGATGTTAACCTCTTTTAGAGATAATAATCAGTTACTTTGCAGTGATTGGTTTTGAATATTATTATGGTGATTTTTAGATTTATAAATATGAATGTTTATACCACATTTGCTAGCTCATTTTTGTCTTGAAAGTGGGTTATATCATCCTTTTTCAGGTGGGATTGTTGTCTTCAGATTTGTTCCTGTCCTTTATCTATTAAGTTTAATTGTTTAAGTAGCTACTGCCCTACGATTGGTTGGAGGGGCTGGATTATTATATATATTACATTTTATTTTATGTACTGCATGCTTTGAGGAAGGCTTTTGCAGAAACGCGTCAGCATCAGTAGATCCTGTACCAAGTTGTAATCAATAAAGAAATTATATTGAGAAGCATCCGTGTAGCCAGATGTATTTATGTGAAGATTACTATGTGACAAGTGAAAGTTCCAAGCCTGAGCACCGGTCTCCAGATTTCATCAGGATTACAGCAGTAGAGATTGGGTGAGTCCAATTCCTTTTGTGTAACCACTTCAACAGACACGTTCACCCACCTTCCTGCCCAGGTCATTTTCCAGTTCTCAGCGCTGTCACACTTTGGATGACAATTACTCAGTCATGTAACACTGTACCCACATGATTATTTTTACCTTTTTTTGAGACAGTTAGAGCTTTCTATGGGTGGTATTTAATAACCACCAGGGTTTTGTCATTTTTGCTAAATAACTAAAAAAAGACCAAACATTAAAAAAAAAAAATGTTTTTCTTCGTTTCTGTTATAAAAGCTTGCAAATAAATAATCTTTCATCATAACCTTAGGCCAAAATGTATTCTGCTACATTTCTATGGTGAAAAAAATAACCAAAATCAGGGCTATTTATATATAACCAAAAAGGAGAGGTATTTGTTTCTTGAGACCTTAAGGCTACGTTCACACTAGCGTTGTGTGCAGGCAGCAGAAAGGCGTTTGGGAAGCGTTTTTACCGCTTCCCAAACGCCTCGGACAATTCTGCACATTACAGCACATAGTGCTGTACTAACGGGAGCGTTAGTATCATGTTGCGGCAAAATGGATGCCTCTGGTCGAGTCAAGAGGGGTTGAAGCCTCCTATTCTAGTCTATGGTGCCGCTCCGCAAACGTCCACCGGGGTTTGCGGTGCGGTTGCGACGTGGTTGCGAAGCAGTAACACCATTCAAACTTCATTACAGGCGTTTTTAATGCTTGGCAAACGCCTAGCAACCTCCGCTAAACCACACATGCGGGCAGAGTGAAAAATCTGGTTCAATTCTGCATAGAAACAAATCAGATGGGGAGGAGCCTAAACATGGCGGCACCGGAGAGCACGATGTGAGTGCTCTCCGATAATCCACGAGTAGACCACCATGAGAACCCCTAAGGTCTGAAGAGCGGAGCCCTACCTGAGCGAGGAGGTCTCCGGGGAGAGAGGGTACCGGCGAGCTGAAGGGAGAGGAGAGCGAGAGTCGATACGGAGCTCCGGGAGGAGTTCGCGCCGTGGAGACCTGGGACCAGCTGTCGGGTTGCCGGGGAGACGGAGCAGTGCGGCGTGGTCACGTTGGCTGGCCGCAAAGGAGTACTGGGAGGCAGAGGTGCCGGCTCCCTGGCGGGAGAGTGGAGAGCGGAGACGCCGGTTCAAATTTTCAAAAATCTGCAGCACAGGAGCGGAAGGTGACATTGGATATATACCTACAGGAGACCCTGCAGGAATCCCCCAGAGATATCGGCTGAGTGTGGTGAGCGGATGGGTGAGTCCACACGTATGAACCCACAAGTAACTGTTTTACTAGGTTGAACTGTGGGTAGGACTGCTAATTACTAACAAAGTGAGAAGGGGGATTCCCAAGGGATCTGGAAAAGTGAGAACAGAAAGAAGAGGGAATGAGAAATTACTAAGTGGCTCCAGAAGAGACCTGGGAAAAGAAAATGAAGTGTTAAATTGATAGAGACTGATTAATATTAATACCCCAATATACAGCCTAAAGTTCCCCGCCGATTAAAGAGCAAAACTAAGTGCAGAAGATATGAAGAATAAAAGCGCTAAAGGAAGTGGGCTTAAAGGGTCCCAGACGGGCACAATTAAAAAATATACTTCTCAGGGTAATGTGACTCCAGAAAGGGCCTATAGCGGAAATGAAAAAGGGGAAATGGAAACCACCTTGGAGAATAGCCCTAGATTGTCATTGGGCCTGAATAGTAGCAGCCATCAGTGGACAGAAAACCTAGCGAGGAAAGATCTTGAAAAAGACTTACAAATGCCGAATAAAAGAGAGATGGCCGTAATGTTTAAGGACTTGGAAAAAACTATTAAGCAGGAAATGACAAATATACGTCAGGATCTAGGGCATCTGTTAAAGAGAACGGAAGAAATGGAGGGAAATATCAACAAACATACCCAATTCATTTCGGACTTAGAAAAAAGGTCAGCTACGATGAGGAACACGCAGAAACAACTGCAGTATAAAATAGAAGTACAGGAGAACAGGTCTAGGAGAAGTAACTTGAGGATAAGAGGAATCCCAGATATCCTGAAAGAGGGAGAACTGCAAGAAATTGTTTGTAAAATGTTAAACTCTATTATGGACAGACCTGAAACAGAGGTAATTAAACTGGATGGAGTCTATAGATCAGGAAAGCCCCAACAAGGTAACGGGAAGGAAAAATCAAGAGATGTGATTGTGCAGCTGCAAAAATATGGAGATAAGGAAGAGATCTGGAGAAGGATTAAAGGAAGAACAACTATTAAGTATGGAGATATAAATATCCAGATTTTTGCGGACTTATCGTATGAGACTTTGGGGAGGAGAAGAGCCTTGAGGCCCCTATTAGAGCAGATGAGATCAAGGAATGTTCAATATAGATGGGGTAACCCAGAGTGTTTGATCGGATGGAAGAACGGTGTCACAGCATATTTGAGATTTCCCGAGGACTTAAGAGACTTCTGTGACAGACTGGAATTGCAGAGAACGAGGATTAGTGGATGGGAAATAGAGACTGAAA